AAACAAAAGACTCACAATAGCCAACACAATTGCAGGACAACAAAACAGAGATTGACATTATGAGACTTCAAGACTTACTATAAAGCTACAATAATTAAGAAAATGTGATACTGGTGAAAGAACAGGCAAATAGATCAATGAAACAGATAAAGTGCTCAGAAATAGACACAAGTATATTCAACTGCTCTTTGACAAAGGAGCAAAGGAAACACAAATGCAGAAGAGATAGTCTTTTAGCAAACAGTACTGAAACAACTAGACATTTACATGCAAAAAAAATTAGATCTATACCCTACTCTTCACAAAAATTAACTCAAAAGATAATAGACCTAACTATAAAATGGGAAACTATAAAACTCCCAGAAGATAACATATTAAAAAAATCTAGATGACCTTGAGTTTGACAATGACTTTATAGATACAACATTAAAAGCATGATCAAGGTAGGAAATAATTGATAAACTGGACTTAATCAAATTTAAAATTTCTGCTCTATGAAAGACACTGTCAAGATAATGAGAAGACAAGCCATGAAGTGGAAGAAAATATTTGCAAAAAGAAATATGTGATAAAGGACAATTATCCAAAATATACAAAGAACTCTTAAATTCAGCAGTAAGAACAACAACCCAATTTTAAAAAGGACAAAAGATCTGAACAGACATCTCGCCAAAGAAGATATACAGATGGCAAATAAGCATATGAAAAGATGTTCCACATCATATGTCATCAGGAAAATACAAATTAAAACAACAATGAGATACCACTACACACCTATTAGAATGCCCCAAATCCAAAACACTGAAAACACCAAATGCTGATGAAGATGTGGAGCAACACAGATTCTCATTCATTGCTGGTGGGATGGAAAATAGTACAGCCACTTGGAAGACAATTCAGATAAAACAAGTTCTTTATAAAGTGTCTTATAAAGCTAACAATAGTCTTACCATCTAACTTACCAGCAACTGTGCTCCTTGGTATTTACCCAAACTGCACATGGATGTTTATAGCAGCTTTACTCATAATTGCCCAAACTTGGAAGCAACCAAGGTGTCCTTCAGCAGGTACTCAAATAAACTATGATATATCCAGACAACGGAATTTTACTTGATGGTAAAAAAAAAAAGAGCATTCAAGCCGTGAAAAAATGTGGAGGAATCTTTAAAGCATATTGCTAAGTAAAAGAAACCAATATAAAAGAGCTACATTCTGTATAATTCCAACTATATGACTTCTGGAAAAGGCAAAGCTATGGAGAGAGTAAAAGATCAGCGATTGCTTGGGGCTTGGGGGGTGGGGCAGGCACGAATAGCCAGGATACAGGATTTTTAGGGCAGGGAAACTATGATACTATAAGGGTGGACATAGGTCATTATATATCTGTCAAAGCCCATAGAATGTACAAAACCAAGAATGAACCCTAATGTAAACTATGAACTGTGGATGATAATGATATGTCAATGTAGTTTCATTGATTTTAACAAATGTACTGCTCTAGCGTGGGATGTTGATAGTGGGGGAGGCTGTGCATGTTTAGAGGAGAGGGTATAAGGGAAGTCTTTATACTTCCTGCTCAATACTGTTGTAAACCTAATCTATTCTAAAAAATAACTGGTTAAAAAAATGTTATGGGCCATTATACTATGATACTCAAAGTGTGTACCCATTTCTTTCCAGCTAAAGAAGAGGGCGCAGCCAGCAATTAAAGCATGATTTACATGACGTTAAAGGATAAAGAAACATTTTAAAACCAGCTGCCATTACTTGCATTATTTATTCATCGGGTACTGTGTAACTGCAGAACTGTGCTGAATAAAGACAAATGTGTTCTCTTTATTGAAGAACTTATAGCCCAAAGATAGAATGGAAATTTAGAAACAACTTTAATTTCTTAGGATCATCAAAAGGGGCATTCTAATGGAAGGAGTTGAGTCCAAAAGACTCTTAATGTCAATAAGATTTCTTACTCAATATTTAGGTTATGGTTCTTGTACCTATTTGCCTATTGAGAAGAATCAGACTATCCTCCGTTTGGCCTAAGTGTTAGCCTATATGTTTTTTTATTTTACTTTTTTAACCTGGCAAATTGTTATGGATGCATATTTCATGAATCTAATCATATTAAACAAATGACACTAAATTACACTCTAAACTCAAAATTGTTAAACCATGGGAAAGGGGAATCTCTTGAGTCTCAGGGAACCACTATCAGCCATTCAGAAGTGTTCACCTCAATATAAAAGGTGTTATGCTTAATGAATACAGAAATAGCAGCATTTTACAGCTGGAGAGTTCATTTTTTTTTCTCTTATCAATGTTTAAATTTCTTATGTACCCCCATAGCTAGTTCTTGGTGTGTTTTTGTTTTGCTGCCAGTGGGTTTGTTTTGGTCTGTTTGGGCCAGATGAACAGTTCCCCCTAATTTACTTGAAGTTTAATACATGAATTAAACCCACTTTCTTCTTGCAGATTTTCTTGTTACAACTTCCCCATTAGAGAAGACAGTTTGAGATTGTAAAACTATAGAATATTATGGTCATACTAAGAACTTATGTCCTACTATTCTCTTTTCCCACTTTGTGTTCTAACAGTATTGAACTACTTCAAAGTTTCCCAAAGCACCAGCATTTTATTCCTCTCTGAAGTGCACATAATCTTTCCTCTGATTGCAATGTTGTACCCTCCCTTTGCCTGGCTTGCCCCTTAGGTTTGCAAACCCCAGTTGATGTGTGCCCTCTCCCAGGAAGATCACTTTCCTTGCTCCCAACAACTTAAACATTCCATCTGCTTCTACCCTGTAGTGTACCCAGATAGGAGACACATACTTAAAATGCTGGTGTTAGTTCATGGTGCCACATTGCAACTTAATTCTTTTACAATCTGTCCCCCCACCCTCCGTCTTCCCACAGTGAGTGAACTTCCTCCCCAGTTAGATGGTATATTTTATTCATCTCTGTGTTCCCCTGTCCTCACATATTGCCTGGACCATATTAGTTGCTCAAAATATGTTGTATGAATTTAATTAAGTGATGCATATTACTCCATCCCCATCAGCAAGTGTTTTATTTAGAACCCAAAATATTTTGTTTACTGTTTAAAAATCAAATGTTAACCTAAAGAATTTAATTAATTAACCTAAAAAATCCTAACCATGCATTGCCCACCCTCTCCCGGCCCAGATTCCCTTTTAACTTAAATAAGAAGCTGTTTTATTCTTGCAGTTTCTGCTAGTTGAGAAGTCAGTGTGATAGAGATACTAGTGGGATTTGCCTAGACATCAATAAACTCCAAAGCCTCCCGGTGGGCCACTTGTAGTGTCAATAAAGGCTCATAATTACTTGCTCCTTTGAGCATTTTAGACCCAACCCCCTAGTTCACTCTGCTGCGAAGATGAGGCTTGGGAACTGAGAGGCTCTTAACTTCTTAAACCTTAGGCGAGGAATGGCAAACATTGGCAGGGACCTCAGGATTTTAAACAAAGGTGCTGGCTGTTATAGTTATCTTAAGCCGTCAGGGGACTAGTAACTCAGAACTCCCCTTCTTGCTCAGCTCTGCCCAAGGATTGGTGGTGGGCCTCATCATTTCCGGGCTTGGGGAAGTATAAACCCCAGGGGCCAAGAGTGGATGGCAGCTGGAGCCTCTGCACAACTTGAAGGAACAAGTAATTCAGTTGAGAGAGACTGCTGGACCTATGGGAAAGGGATGGAGGGGGAAAAAGCGGAGAACTTGGAACCTTTGCTTATAGATGGGGGAAATTCCTGGCTTCCAGATAGGATCTCACGCTAGGGGTGCCTCCGAACCCATTCCCACCAGCCAAACCAAGGCATGGGTACAACCCCAACTGGAGCAGCAAGCTTCTCTCTTGGTGAGGGCAAAACCAAAGAACAGTGAAGGAAGTACTCAGACTGAGGGTTACCCAGGACTTGAAAGTGCCCCTGCCACACAATACAACAGGAGTAAGAAAAACAGTAGGAGGTGAGGAGAGGGTGAACACGGAGGTTAAATACACATCACTGAGACTTTTGAGGAAGAACTTGCCCTTCCTTCTTTCCTTTCTTCTTATCTTCCTACCTTTTTTTTCTTTCTTTCTCCTGTGTCTGGATGTACTTGTATTTAAAAAGGATGTCCTTGGGGGCTGCTTTTTCTCAGAATTCTGTTTCTCCGCAGTTAAGTTTAAGGAGGATTGGAGTTTTCTTGACTCCTGCGTGAGGAGTTTCCAAATGGCAATGAAAAAGAGTCACATAAATATCCACAAAGCGCCTGACACCTCTGTCATCACTTGTTTCCTGCTAGATCCTAAATCGGGGTGGTCATCCACCACCCACCCTGAGTGGGCAATCAGCTAATTGGTTCATGTGTGTATTTGTACTTTCCAGATTGAGCTGTGCACGGAATACAAAACGTCCTCCTCCTACTTCCCCCTCCCTACTCCGATTCACTCTACTTGGGAGGGCATGTGTATGCGCGTTCGCCTGTGTATGTCCGAGTGTGTATGTTTAGCAAAGGCTCTAGAAAGAAACTACCCCTTCTGCATCCCTCCCCCCACCTCCGCTCTATACGAAATCGAAAACGAAGCATCTCTCGAGCAAGATGCGTCTCTAATCTGTCCCCAGCAGAGGTGTCCTCTCCACGCTGAAGAGGACAGACTATCTCCGCGCTCATCCAGAGAGCTGATGGTTTGGCTTCCCGGGCGGGCGACCTGACTTCCTCCTGGCGCGCTGCGTTCTCCCCGGGTGTGCGAGTGCTGGTGCGTGCGTGCGCGCAAGTGTGTGTGTGTATACACGACTGTGAGCTTGTAAGCTTCCTCACCCGGCACTGTGCAGGCAGCGCCGGCGACGTTACTCTCCAAGCAGCCGACAGCAACGCGAGGCAGCCGCAGCCTCCGCCCCCTCCGTCTGGTGATTGGCTGATTTTGCTCATCATTTCCCTGCTAGGAAAAGGGAAGGGCCAGTGACGCCCCCGAACCCAGCTGCAGAAGCGGCCGCCAGCTCCAGTGCACAAGGTGTCTCTTCGGAGAAGAAACCTGAGCCCCAGGGAGGCGGCGCGGAGCGACCGGAGGAGGGCTGGCGCGAACCCGGAGGGAGAGCGCTTGGCAGCGCTCAAGGACCAGCGGGAGCTCGGCCGCAGCGGACCCTTGCGACCCGCTCCTGAGATCCCGGCTCCACGCTCTCGAATTTTACAGATCTCCCCCCGCGACTGTCTCTCCCCAAAACGGAGCCTTTATATCAAGAGAAGGTGAGGGAGCTGGGGCAACCAGGACTTTCCCGGGCACCCAAGATGCGCTCCATTAGGAAGAGGTGGACGATCTGCACAATAAGTCTGCTCCTGATCTTTTATAAGACAAAAGAAATAGCAAGAACTGAGGAGCACCAGGAGACGCAACTCATCGGGTAAATGCAAAGCTTCATTTCAGGATATAACAAAACAAAACAAACAAACAAACAAAAAAGTCAAGCCATAAATGAAATGGGAATATAGACGGTAGAGTGAGGGTTGGGATAGTATGTGTGTTCTGATGAGCTTTTGTGTGTTTAGTCTCATGAATTAAATAACAAAGGCTGTTGTTGAGGTGTGTGTGCTTCTCCACTGCGTGTTCCCAGTATGAGTTCAACTTGCCCTGTGTGGTGGTAGTGACAGTTGTGCTGGCGCCGGGGCTCACACGCCCAAGGAGAAGTCACTGCAGAAGTGTCAACAAAGAACGTGTGCCCTTGTCCTTCCTTTTAAGCCCTGGGCAGAACTCAGGAGAGGTGTCTTCATTCCCCATGTGGTTGTCCTTCCTTCTTTCTCTGCCCTATCACTCTATGTAGATAGTAGAGAGAGGTGGCTTCCTGAAAGGCTGAAGTTAAAGCCCAGAAAACAGGAAATGCGTCTCCTCTGTTTCTTTCCTCTTCTTTGGCGTTGTGTAGATCTGTGTATCATTTGAATTAGAAACTCCAATACAACCAAGGATTCTTCCCTATTTGCTCTTCTGTGGGTAAAACGCATGGGCGTCATGGTTACAGTTTTAGAAACTGGGTACTGTAGCTTCACCCAGACTATATTTCTGCTGTTTCTTTAGTTTGTCTAAATGAGTTCAGAAGCTTCCCCCACCCCAGTAAGTTCTCTAAATATCGCACTTCCTTCCTCCCTTCCCCTGGCCTCTGTTGCTTTGAAGTTTACCCAGGAGGTGGCTGCAACTTTGTGTTGCTTACATAGCTTGGAAGCGTTTTCTGAGGATGTGAACCTGGTTGTCAACTCTGTTCAAAGTCCTGTTTCGGAAATCCTCCCTTATCCGGAGGCGTCTGCTATCGGAAACTCCACACTGGCAGATGCCAGCCTGGTTTTTATGTTCCCTGACATTTATTAAAACGAAGATAGAGCCCTTGCCAGTGTGTGAGTGTGTGTGTGTGTGCACGCGTGTGCGTGTGTGCGCATGTAAAGACTGCTAAAACGTGCACGCGTGCACACATACACACACACAAACTTCATGCACTCGATTTAATATTCCTGCTCCTCCCTAAGTAATGAGTATTTAAGTGAGCAAGACGGAGGCTTATACTTAACAGAAATAATTTGCTGTTTTATAGAAAACTAAGATAGCAGAAGTACAGTCGAAAGGACTGGAAGGGAATGAAAAAGCTAGTAAAGAATGAGCTGGATGGTCGTTATGCATCGACAAATCTACAAATGGTCTATTCTGGAAAAGAAAAAAAAATCCTAACTATATGAGGTCGCTTACACAGGGAGTGGGTGGGTTGAAAAAGCAGCCTAGCTCAGTTGTCAGCAAAGCAGGACTCTGGGCGGGAGCGGGGGCGGGGGCATCCGCGGCAGACCTGTGCTTCCCAGGCAGACAAAGGGGTCTCGGGGAAGGTGATAAACTGGCGCGTGGGGGAGAGGCGGAGGCTGGGCGTGGGGGTCGAGGCTCTTTGTTCCCTTCCGGGCTGGTGGGCTCCGAACACAAGCGTGAGCCCAGACAAAGCCGCCAAGCCTCGCCAGAACTCTGAGGGTTCGGGCCCTCGGGTGGCTGAGGAGCAGGAGTGGGCGGAGCAGTGAGGCGGACAGGAGGCGTCCCATGCCGTCCAGGAGCCCTCTCCCGGCCTCCCTAAACCGCCGCCGGGAAGGGGGCGTACACCCCGTGTACGTCGCAGGGAAATGAGCGACCTGGGACGCTCCACATTTCCCGGGCAACATTCCTCCTGTGGCCCTTTCCTGGACGCCGCGGGCCGGTGGGCACCGACGAGAAGCAGGCGAGCGCAGGCACCGGCGCCGCGGTTGGGCTAGCCCCGCTGGGTTTCGCTCGCCCGCTCTTGGGGCTGAGCTGCGGTTACTCCCCTGCTCCTCTGAGAAACCATGAGGCGGGCGCGTGAGTTAATCAAACAGGAAGCGAGGTACGCACGCACCGGCTACCTCCCCTCCTCCGCGAGAGATTGAAGCGAGGGTGGAAGAATGAGTGAGGAGACAGGTTAAAGCCTTTATTTCGGGAACCATGTGCCCTCTTAAAAAAAAAAAAATCACTTCTACGGCTCAGTGGGCAACTAGGCTCCTCCTCCTTAATTAAAACCCGCAATTACGGTGGTGCGGGGGAAGGGCTGAAAACCGCCTGCGGGCGCCGCGCTTCTCGCGCGCTGCAGCTCCCCGCCGCCGCGGCCGGCGCCCGCTCTGCCCTGCCTCGGCGGACTCGGCGCTGCCTGGAAAATGCGTCCACAGCTAGTCCTCCTGAGCACCCTTTCCGTTTTCCCTCAAGGTGAAACGTTTGGTGGAAAAGCTTGTGATACTAGTTCGTGATTTAGTTTCAACTTCCAAATAGTGCTTCTAGTGGAGGAGTTGACTCATCCAACGACCTAATGATCTCTTTGACTCTATTTCTACCCCCAAAGCCATTTAGAGGGGCTAGTTTTGAGATGAGTAGAGTGGAGATTTGGCCCAGAGCATTGAAAAGTGAGGTAACAGGCAATCTCAGACCTTTGGGAGGTACTGCATGACTTGAGAGTGGGCAATAGGTTCAGTGAAGGGCCTTACACAATCCTTGAACCTTAGAACCCCCCCCCCGCCGCCAAAATCCCCCCTCATATTTCGTTTTCCTGCTACCATTTGCAGTAGGCAGGCAGTTTCTTTATTCCACCTCCCCCTCTTAACTGGAGGTCCCATCTAGAGTCAGTGAAGCGTTGTTCTTATATACAATACTGAGCAGTCATTCCACGCAGAAGAGAATACCAGCACAACTTGCCTGCCTACCATCCACGTTCTCATATCTCCAGAGGAATACTAAAAGCATGGTTTTTATAAGGAATTATTGAGAATAGGTCAAGTAATTATTGGAAATTTAACCTTTCATGCAAACCTATTAATTGCCTGGTATGATTACTAGTTAATAAAATTTAACTCAAAAGGCATGAGGCTATAAAGTGGTTTATCCTTGAATGATATATATATATTTTCATAACTGGAAAAATGGCACTCGCCTCACAATTGACCCATGATTTCACTGACTTTGTGTGCTCTTTGAGTATAATTGTGTTAAGGGTCTTACAGATAAAAATATGTGGGTGTGCTTGTTGAATAAGATAATGGATTTGAAAGTGTGGCATAAACTTAAATATCACACAAGTATTTGTTTTGATTGCGACTCCTCAAAACTTGCCACATACTGTGCTCCTAGTTGGCCACAAATGAGACTAACTAATTTTCTTATCATCTAGAGATTTCCTTTTTAATTTGACTGTGTACTTTCTCTCACTAAATAATTGTCCATATTAATTCTGAAACTTATGATAATATTGACAGTGGAGATAAGCATTCATAGTTAGAATATTGCCATTGTCAGCAAAGTTAGTTCCAGTTGGTTCTAGGGTAGAACCCACTTATCAATCAGGAAACCCAGGATCTGGGTTTGCATGCACTTTGTATGTTTCATTTGAAATTCTACTAAAAACCATAAGCAGTAGGTTAAGGTAGTACATCTCATCTTTATTTTTAGTTGTTTGACACTTAGGGAATGAAAACACCAAATTGCCTGCTGTTGGTATCAGGCTTAGTTTGATGCAAGTTGTTCTCTTTTGAATGACTTTTATAATTTTATATTAAGGAGGAAATTTAACCTAGTTCATGCAGAACACATTCATTCCAAAGCCAAGTTGTGAAGAGTTTTCAGTGGGGTTGAGTGCTGGACTTTTGGGACCTAATCTCAAGAAACAAAATTATATTTGTTATGTACTGCAGAATTAATAAAATAAGTTGTAGTGATGCCTAGCAACTCATATTTCAAAGAGAAAAATATTTGTAAAAACTAGTAATGTAACTGATGATTAAATTCTGTCACTACCATCATTGTAAGGTTTTCTTAGCTCAACATAAGCAGGAATACTTTATAAAATATATTGCTTTATGCTGCATTATTTTCCTGATGTGTTTTGTGATTTTCTTTTTAGAAGTATATGTTGGATATTCCTGTATATAGCCCTATGCAAGAAATGTTTTCAGTGCAGCTGTATAGTAATTGCTTTGATCTGGAATGAAAAACTAGTAGGGGGTGGCAACATCCTTTATGCCTTGCATTAAAGGAAAAGCCTTTCTAAGACAGAATACTACCAAGGTCACAAATGGAAACATCCCTTGGGACTCACTTAACTTTTATACAAAGAAATTTGCTCCAGAGACTCAGATTGCACTAAGTCTAGCCTTCTTACATAGGAATTCCGTCTACTTCAAGAAGTGGGGCTAGTTGTAGCTATTTTCATTCAAAGTTCTTTCCAGGAATGAAACTGAATTTTGGTTTATCATCAGTTCAGTGAAAACAGTTCAAAGAGCAGAGTTATATGGTAGTATTTCATTAATATAAAACTGATTTAAACTTTTAAAGCACTTTTTTTTTTTTAAGTCTTGGAGGTTCTGAAAAGCCTCCATATAACTAAATACATCAAAGCAATTATTTTGCAATGCAAAATGTACCTTTAGCTACATGTCAGTGAAACAATCTTCCACAGATATTTGAGAATGCCAGCCCATGTATATTTTTACTTCTCCTATGAAAGTTAATTGGTGGTAAAATAATTGTTATAATTATGGCAATCTGTGGTTAGAAAAAGGTGATATTAACAATCCAGTTAACAAGATGAAGATAGGAAAAAAAATCCCTGCCCTTAGAAATGGTGAGAGTTTGTACCCAAAGTCTTGAAGGCATATCTCCAAAAGTGTGAAGGTTAGGTTCTGTATATATCCGTGTTCTCATTCATATGTAGTTATTATCATTAAACATGTAATATAAAAATTGATTTCTGGGCCACTTAGTAGTAAATTGCACCCTATGTTTCCTAGCATCTTAAATGACCTCTATAAAATGGCTATTATTGGCCATGCATAGGCATGCAAATGTTATCATTTTCATCAGTAGGATAGTTTAAAATATTGATTTTTATGAGTTCTAAATTTCACAGGGAGTAGTTGCATATGATGCTTTGAGTTGCTTCAAATTGGAACTACATGTTTAAAAAAGAATGCAAACCAAAATACCAAACTATAAGCCTCTAATTACAGAATTCATCTAACAGCTGTTACACAGGCAATGTTTCCATTGATAGTAGGAGAGGATTGCCTACATAATGAACACAGTTTTAGACTTTGTGACTGAGCAAATAGTCATATTACTTTTTAACTCTATTTTTGAGATTTTAAAAAAGTAAGAGTTAACATGTAAAGAAATAAATGCAGATACTGAAAGGGCTATACCATAAACAGGTAGCATTTTGTTTCTCTGAGTCTGGGTTTAAAGCTATAAAGTACTAAGAAAATAGTCTATTGAACAATAAACTGGTTCTACTATAAACGTCCTAATGATACAAATGCTGTCATAGGTATCTGACCCTGTCAGCACTATGACCAACACCACCATGCCACCTATATACTTGCCTGACAATATTGATTGAAAGGGATAGCACAGTTGATTTTGTGTGTGTGATGTAATAGAAAATACAATTAAAAATGGCTACTGAATGAGTTTTCTTTCTCCTCATTACAATCTGTCTCCCCACCACCAACAACTATCAGGAAAGTGTCTCATTATTGCAATGATTTGAGACTCAACGTATTTTAGAAATTAGCACTTCAATAGTGCTTTATAAATTACTTTCACATACAGACTCCCACTGAATTCTCACAAAGTCATTGCGTGGTAGTAATGTTATTGCAATTTTCAAGATAAGGCAAGGCCACTGTGGCCTAGAAAGAGAATATTATCCAAGGACATATAGGTTAGCAAGTGAAAGAATCACCAGCATGCCCAGATCACCTGATAATCCCAAAGTCTTCTTACTCCAAAACAAAATCTCTTTCCATTGTAAAAATAAAATTACAATCTTGGGAGTCACAATTATACAGATGCAGGAGAAGTGGCCAAACTTCCTGTCTCTATTGTTAAACACAACAGGGAGGGAGGATCGAGTTTGAAGATAATTTTTTTTTCTTTAAACACCACAAAGACCTTTTCTTTATATGAAAAATGTTTTTATTTCAAAGAGAGTAAGTGTAAAGATTGTCCTGATAAAGTCATATTCTCTTACTTCGTATAATACCTTTCATCAATCTCATACCTCTTCTACCATGTAGAAAAAGTTGTATCGACAATTTGTAACCAGTAATCCAAATCAAATTATGTATTATGCTACTTAGATAAAATGCTTCTTACTTTCACAGAGCTGGCATTTTTGTTTTGTTTCAGAGATGGTGAACTGTGTTTGAGTCGATCCTTTGTCAATAGTTCTGATAAAATCATTCGAAAGGCTGGCTCTTCAATCTTCCAGCACTCTGTAGAAGGTTGGAAAATCAATTCCTCTTTGGTCCTGGAAATAAGGTGAGTTTCTTTAATAAGCCATAATAAATTTCACATCATGTTCTCGAATACATTGGGCTTCACAAACTTTTATTGAATGCTTGATTTATAGTTTAAGTATGAATACTTTAATAAAAGAGTGGACCAGCTCTACTTAATGTTGATCAATGAAGGCTGTGAAACCATAAAACTGAAATCATTATGCAGTCAGAAATTTAAGGATGAATATGTGAGTTTTGAATATACTGTCTTTATTCTAATGGAATAAAATATTCAACAGAATACTAACATTTAATAGACTTTTTTTATTCTATTACTTAGGATGGACATATATTTTGAGAATTGTCTTTATCTTCTTTATTAAGTCTTCATACATTTCTTCTATCTTTTCACACTGGATGAAAGTAGAGCCTATCCAACTCCTATTTTGCTGACTATTCTAAATAAATTTTATTTACTCTATAGATGGATATTTCTATGTGAGTTTCTGTAATAAAAGTCTCAGTAATTATATCCTAAATTGGCAAAAGGCCGAAAATAGAATTTCTAGAGTACTGGTTTATTCTTTGTAAGATTTTGGCATTTTGCCTGAAACAAGCTCTCGAAATCAAACTCAATGCCTGCATATATCTATTATATCTTATTTTCTTCTAGTACAATTCTACAGCTAATAAGAAGGTTAGGGCCAGACCTTCCTGAGCATGGAGGAAGCAAACACACCATGTTTTCCTACAACTACATTGCTATATTGGTTGATATGTTTAAATCAGAGCATTTCAGTAAATCAAACTCTTTGAAAGTTTTAGAGAACTATCCTTTACATAATAAAATCATTGCAATTTCATATTGGCAAAATTCTAATTATTCAATGAATGGACATTACTGCACAGATTTTGTAAGTCATTACATGGATAAACCATTGATCTGTCTGTCTCGGTTTCTATCTACTCACTTCTTGGATCATACCTACATGTCATGTAGATCATGAGCGGCTTGCAGGAAGAGTCTGCTAACACTCATCTTCAGAATATGCATAGCAGTTCATAAAACGCATTGCAGCAAAGACACTCACTCCATGTTGAAATATACTTGAAAGATTGGAAAATTTTAAAAAGATGGGTGCCAGGGAAATTCAGGAATAGTTTGTTTTGAAGCTTTGGAAGTGGCTGGGATGGGAAACAGGAATCAAACCATGGCAATACCAAATAGTGTGTACTTGGTTGCTTTTAGTTATGGGAAATTTTGTGTGTTTGTAGGCAGAGTACAAGAATGAGGAGATGAGTAGGGTCTGATGACAGAGTCTATAAATTGGTGTCTTCTGGGTAGAATATGGTCAGCAAGCAAGATTTATTTCAACTGGATAAATAAAAACCCTTAAAACCAGTATTAAATTAGGAGATTCCTTTAAAAGTACAGATTTCCATATACTCTTAAGAAAATGAAAAATTTAACAACTCTGGTCATAAATAACAGGCATGGTTTAGTTTAAAACAGAATAAGGATTCATATTTCTTGGAGGTAAATATTGGAAGGAGAGAAATATGGGTGATTTATAAAGGAAATATTTGATCTATAAGGATGTCTCAAAAGGAACTTTCAAACTGAAAGATTTGGCAAGAAGGGAGCCAATTAGGAAAGGCTACGCAGATCAGGTAAAAGAAAGTAATGGAAGAAAGTAAAGTAAAATAAGAAATTGTAATAGTTTAATTAATATATCTAAATATATCAGATAAGGTAAAGTCTAATAAGTAAATTCAAAAAGTAATTAGCAATAGTTTAAGTAATATATACTTCCTAGTATCTATACAAAAATGAGGCTACAGAGGTACATTTTGCTATTTTTAAGATATTCAAGCTAAGGGTATTAAATATAAATTGAGCCAAGCAAATCATTATTGCAATTTTACAAATTAATGAAGATTGCATTCATATCTGTGAAGGTGATCTGTCTGTTTTAAATTATAACAGATGATATTATGTATGAAATGTTAGTACTCTTTTCATATGATTCTTAACAGATAAAGAAGTAAACAATAAAAAATTGAGCAAATATTGAATAATACATACAAAGTTGTCACTTCCGTACAAGGAAACAATAATTTGTAAAACTATTATTGTACAACATGAAAACAGTTCATAAAAATTATAATTGCCTATAGCATTAGTGATTTGTGAGTATTAATCAGCTTGACACCTGTAATAAAAAATTTAGAATATGAAAATGTCCTATTGTTAGCTTAGCTCTTGTTTTTCATACCAGAAACTAACCATAAACTAATTTGGATTATTATCTTTCTTTATTTCTTCCCCACATCTGTAACATTTATGAAGAACCATATTACTTGGTTTCTGTGAGTGGGTATGGGCATATTTTACAAGTGTTTTTAAAATTCTACTTTGAAGTTTTGATTAAGATATTACAGCTAATCATTTTTGATCTTACATGATTAAACCATGCTTACAAATCTTTCTCATTTTAAAAATCTCATTAAACTTATAATGCTCTTGTAACATTCCTAATAAATTATTTATCTATTTGTATTAACATGTGAAGCAGTCACTGATGATAAGTTGTTTTTCCCTACATTTGTAGAAATGATTTTTTTCTTATTACTAATTTTTTCAACCCTATATATACTCTGCTACTTTCATAAACACATCAAGAATTAATATATGTTCATCAAACAACCGTACCTCTGGGGAGTTTTTTGAGAGAGATGGTTCCACCTTCATGGTACTTTGGAAATTCATCAAGATTTAGAAGAGTTTAACCATTCCACAGCTAACTTCACAATTAAAATAATTACCTTGGTTAAGGACTTGATTTTATTGGTAGTAGTTTGTTCTTTGTTATTGTAAGCTAAGAAATGACATATTTGGGGCTCCTGGGTGATTCAGTCAGTTGAGCATCTGTCTTCAGCTCAGGTCATGATCCCCGGGTCCAGGGATTGAGCCCCACATCGGGCTCCCTGCTCTGCAAAGAGCCTGCTTCTCCCTCTCCTGCTCCCCCTGCTTGTGCTCTATTTCTCTCTGTCAAATAAATAAATAAAATCTTTAAAAAAAAAAGAAATGACATATTTAAGATGTATCAGATGTTTGTGAGTAAATCTATAAACATTGTACCAAGAGAGTATTTGGTCATGTCCAACACTTGTGACTTGACCCTTTTTTCCCCATCTTTGGGTTGTTTTTTTTTATTTTCCCCTCATTCTTCATATGCTGAATAGAAACCTAAGGAATTACAATACCAGATGTGGATGCACAGAGATATACGAGCTCAACTACTCATCAAGGCACATCATAATTAGAAGGACTATTTTCAATTCAGTATCATCCCATGTCAAGGTTTTTAAGCAGATCAAACTCGCAGGTTAACTAAACCTAACTGCAAATTTATATATGCTTTCCTACCAAAAGGAACTTGCTGTTGCATGCATTGATTTACTTTAGAGAAAGGTCCGCATACAATTCTTCTACTTACTCTGTTCAGTAAGTAGCCGGAGGAGCACATCTTGGATCATACGACTTGTTAGTGGCAGAGTCAAGCTTCAAAGCTAGGCCTATCTAACTAGAACCAAAGCTCTTATCATGAAACAAATTTCTTGGAAGACTCTATTTTAATACTAAAAATGCAGCGTTATGCAGTACACACAATGGAGAGTTTTTTTGCTCCAAAATAATAAAATATATTATTCATCCAATATTACTAAATGCTGGGTCAAATAATCAAATGGCCATCTGAGGTGTAAATTAAACTAAAAAATGCTTTTCTTCAAGCATTTTGAGACCATTTGCCTTTTCATTTGGCTGCGTAGGATTTTTCTTTGATACTAGAATATCTTTCTGTAACAGCTGGGACCCTAAGCTCAGAAGCCCTAACAAGCTACAGGTTATGTTCTTTCAGTGCTTTGAAGAATCTTGCCTTGCGAAAATAATCTTTGAGACAAAAAATTGTGTGTTCTCTCCACTTTTTTGTAGGCATAATGAAACACTCGGCACTTCTTAAACCTTTTTAAATTTCTTTTTAGTAAACCATGTTAGTAACAATTGAATTGATTTGGTGATTTTTGTCTGAAGTCCAAAGTTTGCAAAAACTGACTCCTAATATATGTATCATAACCTAATTCGCTTCTCAACTTGTGATACATTCCAGCTGTAAGATTTGTCTTAACAATACTCGCTGATGGAGTCAACAGTGTCATTTAGATTAAATTTTAGTTGCCACAGCACGTATGCTTGTTGTTGACAAGAAACCTACAGAGAAGAAAGAGTGGCACCTGGTGATAGGTTAGCTATATTTAACATTTCACAAGTGAAAACAATGTTTAGTAAATTAATTCTCTGGAACTCTGCAGCTGCCATTTCAAGTGATGTGTGATGTTGAAAGGGAAGTTCTAGTTGAAAATTCAGTTGAAAAGTTTCTGTATAAAATCTATTCCTGTCAGTTGAACAGTCTCAACCGGCCTTTCAGTTTAAACCAGCATTGCCTAACAAAAAATAATCTTTATGACTAAGATTTTTAGTCTCACTAAAAGTGAAACATATTTTTAGATCTTTCAGTTATCTTTAACATTAAGACAGTTGCCGAATTTAGGTTTTTGCTTATTAATAGGGTTTCAAAAGTTACATTATGCCCACAAAATGACAGTTAAAAACCTATAAGGGATCCTTTTTGTTGTTGCTGGTCTGCAGTCACACACACAAAACACAACCCCTGCTTTAAATAGCTGGTAATGACTTGATCACCTATCAGGAAAACTAGTATTGAGACAGCCTGCATATTAAACTTTAGCTTTTGTTGATTCATGTTTCTTTCTTTTTATTTTTTTAAAGATTTTATTTATTTATTTGACAGAGAGAGACATAGCAAGGGGGAGTGGGAGAGGGAGAAGCAGGCCTCCCGCGGAGCAGGGAGCCCGCCGCGGGCTTTATCCCAGGACCCTGTGATCATGACCTGAGCCGAAGGCAGACGCTTAACGACTGAGCTACCCAGGCGCCTCGATTCATGTTTCTTTAGAACCCAGAAGTTAAACTGAATTTCCTTTCTATCTTTCTCATCTGAAATAATTTTGTTTAATCTGCTCTCTTCATTTATGTCAATTATCTGAGCAAAAGCATACATGTTCTTGGTGATACTGAAAATACTGTTCAGTTCACTGTAAGAGTTTTTCATGCTTCCAGTGACATTTAGTTAATTGTATTTAAGCACTAGTTTTCTTTTTTTCATATATTTACAGTGTGTGAATAACAACTAGACTTAGCAAATCCACAGAACTTTTTATAGTCCATTACATCTATAATCTAAAAAATGCCTAGTGGTGCCTAGGTGGCTCAGTTGGTTAAATGTCTGCCTTGGGCTCAGGTCATGATCCCAGGGTCCCTAGGATCTAGCCCGAGTCCGGCTCTGTGCTCAGAAAAAAGTCTGCTTGTCCCTCTCCCTCTTCTGTGCCCCCCAGTGCTTGTGCGCATGCTCTCTCTTTCAATAACTAAAATTCTTAAAAAAATAAAAAATAAAATAAAAAATGCCTACAGTTTGCTAGGGAGGGAAAAAAAAACCCTAACCTTTCCTTACTGTTTCCAAAAAAAAAAAAAATTAAGCATTGAAGCCACAATACTGCTCACTCATAGTAATTATTTTCAGTTTTTCTTGAATCCTACACCAGGAATCTTATTTCAAATAATTTTCCATGCATAGATGTAAGCCCTAAGATGGAAACTAAAAGTTTAGTTCAATATAAGAAAAATAACTTACTGGAGACATTCAAGGTTTCCTTTCACCCTTCTTTCAGTTTAAAAACGCAAATACTCCCCTAACAGAATAAACAATTGTTGAGCCTATAAAACAGTTTTGGAAGAATAGTGTTATCTGAATTTAATAATTATCTCGTTTATCTCAAGAGTTAGGCAATGTGGTATCTTTTGAAATTTTGCCGAACTTTATTTTTGTTTAAAGATTTTATTTATTTATTTGAGAGAGAGAGCACAAGTCCAGGAAGGGGCAGAGGGAGAGGAAGAAGCAGGCTCCCCACTAAGTAGGGAACCCTACACAGGGCTCAATCTCAGGACCCTGGTGTCATGATCTGAGCCCAAGGCAGACCCTTAACCAACTGAGCCACACAGGTGCCCCTGAAATTTCGCTGAACTCTTATTATCCACTCTTTTATATCAATTTTCCCTAAGAGTGAACAAATTAAAGATGTTCTGTTATACTCAGGAATGTAAAAGACCTATGTTTAAAATATTTTGTTGCTAAATTTCTATAACACAACAAAGGTTCTGTTATTGGAAAGTCCCTTGTACTATCAGTTGACAAGCATTTGAGTGTTAGCTTGTTTCGTGAATAAAAGTATTTTCCCCTTTTGGATTTCCAAGTTAAAAAGTCTTCTTTCAAATCTGGATATTTGGTCTATTCACGTCACACTCGCAAACATTTCACTACTTGTGAGTTACATCTTCATGTACCTACAACACTCTAAACTATGTTCAAAGGAAAATGATAATACCAGCTAGTTTGGCGATTTGACCACATCCGTGCAGTTTTTATTTTAGAGACAGCCTTGTCATTTCCACAGGAAATGAGATTTTTTTGAAATACAGGTGTCAGGCATCACTGCAGTTTTTTCCCCAATTTCATTTGTAGGGCATTTATACAGATTTTCATCTATAAATTCAACTTATGAACCTGATATTCTGATTGAAGAAAAAAATTCAAAAAATATTTTCTTTTCCAGAGACTTGATGAACGTATACCTTGTGTATCAAACCTGGTCAAACAAAGTTTTCAGTCAACTGGTTTTCTAATAAGACTACACATTAAACTGGCACCTATTTAAAGCAAACCAAAATTAAACAAAAAGGAAGATTTAAGTTATTTTCCATCCCTTCTTGCTAGTCATGCTTCTGGCTTGTAAGTGTGATTGGGAGAATTGCCCTTTTGGTGGAGTAATGGGAGTAGGTCATATTCTGCTCAGCAATAGCATTTATGAATGCGGTAGAGCTTAAACAGTAATAACACCAAAGGAAAACATGTCTGTCATATCTTAAATGTCATAATAATGGTATTGTTTTTAGCACTCTGAAAATACAAGCTTACAATAAGAGCACTTCAGTAACTAATATCCAATTTCCAGTCTGGAGAGAACTTTTTTCAGATTGCTTCTAGCTGATATATGTTTGGTAGCTTGAGGATGAGGTGAGGTCAGATTTCTGTAGGAAGGCTCATAGTTTCTTTGGCCATATATTTCCCCCACAAACTTAGTGGGCTCCTGGGCCATTTCCTTGTACTTAATTACTGGTATAAATAACTGCACCCGAAGGTTTCTTCTGAACAGTTCTTCAGCCTCTGAGTCTCCTCTATTCTAGCCTAACCCTCCTTTCCCTTAATTTCCCTCCTAACTCATTTGAATCTATAAACTTAGGTGAGAAGGCAATGACTCTTGTTCCTGGGATGGCTCTGATCTACAGTTGTATCTCTTGCTAAGTGGGGTATTAGAAACATTTTGGAGGTCCCAATTTCCAGACTTTCACACAGTTTACATACAGGCCATTGCCAGAGATATTCCTTTCCTTCTGAGCTTGCAACTTGGCTATTTCATGCCTAACTTTGCATCTTTTAGTGCCTTGCTAGAAGGAGCAACTAACATAAAACAGCATAGAAACTCCTTTTAACCATTTCTCCAAGAGCAACAGGCTTATTAGATATAGGATTTGACTCCAAAATTATTGCAGACCATCATTTTATTAGGTGTTTTGCTATATCATGCCAAGGTCACTAGCTTTCCAGGCAGCTATAGCTTTATTTTCATTTTCCATCATCTAACTCAGCATTTACATATTTGTTTATACAGCATCTCACATCTGTTATCAGTTTCTTTATTATGCACAGGATAGGCTAAGCTTCCATCAAAAAAGAGTGATATCTTAAAATACAATGGATCAACATGTTGGAAGTTTATTCCTCTCTTGTATAGCCATGCACAGTATCCACTCATATCCCATGTATGAAAACTCACATGACCAAAACCAGCTGCACTTGAGTTTGGAAACTTGCAAATTTTCTAGCTGAGGAGTCATGTGCCTGAGTAAAACTTAGAAGATTCAAATACTAAAAGGAAGACTGGAAGGAAGAACACTAAGGAACAGCTATCTCTGTCGGGCATAGTTTGGTGTTCTATCTATCCATTTTTACCTCTAACATACCCATTTTTCTTCCTGGATTCTTGAGCTTCAAAGGACTTGCATATACTATAGTTTTATTCGTCTTCAAATAATTGTAATATACACATGATTTGGATTAATGTATATAAATTTATTGGGAAGTTTAATCCTTTTAATAGAGTTAAGTAAGATATAATTCCAAACCATTTTATTTCTATTTACCTTAACTAGACAACACTGAACAAAACAAAATGACTATAGAGAATTAATTAAAGCTAGCAGAATATCTAGTTATGCAAAGTCAAGTCATGGTATTTTCATTTTATTTAATAAACTAAGTTTTCTTATTTTTTTCTTCAAGTTTTTATTTAAATTCTCTTTAGTTAACATATAGTGTAATATTGGTTTCAGGAGTAGAATCTAGTGATTCATCATTTCTATGTAACACCCAGTGCTCATCCACAAGTGCCCTCCTTCGTACCCATCACCCATTTAGCCCATCTCCCTGCCCACCTCCCCTCCAGCAACCGTCAGTTTGTTCTCTACAGTTAAGATTCTCTTATGGGTTTGCCTCCCTCTCTTTTTTTTTTTTTCCCTTCCCTTATTATCATCTTTGTTTCTTAAATTCCACATATGAGTGAAATCATATGGTATTTGTCTTTCTCTGACTGATTTTGCTTAGCATAATGTACTCTAGCTCCATCCACCTTGTTGCAAATGGGAAGATTTTATTCTTTTTGATGGCTGAATGTATATATCACATCTTCTTTATTCTTTATCCATTTATCAGTATATGGACATTTGGGTTCTTTCCATAATTTGGCTATTGGTGACAGTGCTGCTATAAACAGTGGGGTGCATGTGACCCTTTGAGTCAGTATTTTTGTATCTTTTGGGCAAATACCTAGTAGTGCAATTGCTGGATAGTAAAGTAGTTCTTTTTTTCATTTTTTGAGGAACCTCCATATTGTTTTCCACAGTGGCTGCACAGAATAAACTAAATTTTCTGTATCATTTTTCACTCTATAAATAGATGTATATACTATATTTATTTACCAAATCATTGAGAAACTATAAGCAAATGATTTTTTTAAGAACAAATTCAATATCAATAGAATCTACTTAATTGGTTGGTTTAATTACCACCTGACAATTTAAGATTAGTAGTGTGCCAATTTACATTTTATCATATGTTACTTTGTACATGATATCACCAGTTCTTGGATATGTTGTCATTAATGGAAAACTTTGCTTGTATTTCCATATAGGAAGAACATTCTTCGTTTCCTAGATGCAGAAAGAGATGTCTCAGTGGTCAAGAGCAGTTTTAAGCCTGGTGATGTCATACACTATGTGCTAGACAGGCGTCGGACACTAAATATTTCTCAGGATCTTCACAGCCTCCTACCTGAAGTTTCACCAATGAAAAATCGTAGATTTAAGACCTGTGCAGTTGTTGGAAATTCTGGCATTCTGCTAGATAGTGAATGCGGAAAGGAGATTGACAGTCACAATTTTGTAATAAGGTGAGCTTTCTTCTCTTCCTAAAGATTGTAATTTCTTCCAAGATGTTTTACTGAGGTGTAGAAAACTGACAGAAATGTGTAAGTCTAGTATTAACATTAAGGATTATTGAAAGTTCAAATACTTATTTCTGATATGTTTTTCTGTGTAGTGTCCAAATTTACATTTACCCTGGGATATAAAATTAAAATTGTATGGTCATTGAAAGGAAAGGTGATTTTATTATAGCAGTAAGATTCACACCAGGTTTTTTTTTCCAAATTACAATTCTATTAGATTTAATACACAGGAAAATGACTTTTATTAATAGTTTTTCTTTATGTCCATTAATTTAATATTAATTCATTCCTTCAATAATATAAATAGTTAATAGTTAATTATTAATTAAGTTAATTTTTATATTAGTGAATGGATTAATTCATTTAATCCACTTAATTGATTATATTTGCAATCCTTTTTGTATACAATAAATTATATTCATTTATTCATAAAGATTATGAACATTTTTTTAATTTTATTTATTTATTTGAGAGAGAGAATGAGAGAGAGAGAGAGAGCACATGAGAGGGGGGAGGGTCAGAGGGAGAAGCAGACTCCCTGCTGAGCAGGGAGCCCAAGGCGGGACTCGATCCTGGGACTCCAGGATCATGACCTGAGCCGAAGGCAGTCGCTTAACCAACTGAGCCACCCAGGCGCCCCAGATTATGAACATTTCTATGTAATGGTGTAATAAATGTAAGTAATTTTACCCTTTTAATGACAATTATTTAGCAGATTCTAAGAATATAACAAGTTCATAAACCAAGTTTCTAAAAAGTATATACATAAGTTTACATTTAATATCTTGCACCAAATTCTCTGCATTATTCTTTATATGTGGTATTTATGTATGTTAGTATATTTTAGTTTTTGAGTTTTCTCACATAATTAAACATACCTGTTTTTCATTGATGGTCAGCAGATGTTTGATGAGTCGTGTTTGGTTAACTGAAAGAAACAGCAATAGAAATGGGATTATGATGAAATCATAGATACTAATTTTTCGTTTCCAATTCATGTATCTGGACATTGATTTTTTTTGGCTTTTTTTAGTTCTTCAGGAAAATTTGCTGAATGAATGAAGTATGTATGTTGAAATATGAAATAGTTCAATGTAAAGATAGCTAGATTTTTAGTTTTTCAGAGTCTGAGGATGAATTGGTGGTCTGCAAATTTCTTTTAAAATTAAGGAAACAAATCCATTATGAAACAGGAAAATTCAAAGTTTTTCAGGAACTACACTGCATTCTTCTATTGTGAATAATACTAGTCATATAAAGTCAGCCATAATTATGTAAAACTAAATACTAATACAACAAAAAATGATTGTGTAATATTGAGGGGATTGGAGAGGAGAGAGGTGTGTGTAATGGGGAAAAATCAGTCAAGATCTAATATAGAGACGTCAGTAAAGCAGTATCAACACATTACTAAAAAAGCTACGATAAACAGAAAGAAGTGGTTGTCTCTGGAGAAAAAAGTCGGAGATGGGTAGAGAAAAGGTGAAGAATTGCCGTCTTTCACTACCAGTCTAACAATATGATTTTGGTTTTTCTTAGTTGTATATATGTATTTCTCTGATTAAAACTTAATTTAAGTAAGTTTCAGTTTTAAAAGTTTCCCCCAGGCAACTGAAATATACAGCACTGGTTAAGAGCCACCACAGTAAAATGGGATTGAGCTTTTTTATTTTTATTATGTTATGTTAATCACTATACATTACATCATTAGTTTTTGATGTAGTGTTCCATGATTCATTGTTTGCATATAACACCCAGTGCTCCATGCAGAACGTGCCCTCTTTAATACACTCCCCTCCCCTCTAGAACCCTCAGTTTGTTTTTCAGAGTCCATAGTCTCTCATGGTTCATCTCCCCCTTTGATTTCCCCCCCTCTTCATTCTTCCCCTCCTGTTATCTTCTTCTTTTTCTTTTTTCTTAACATATGTTGCATTATTTGTTTCAGAAGTACAGATCTGTGATTCAACAGTCTTGCACAATTCACAGCGCTCACCATAGCACATACCCTCCCCAATGTCTATTACCCAGCCACCCCATCCTTCCCACCCCCAACACTCCAGCAACCCTCAGTTTGTTTCCTGAGATTAAGAATTCCTCATATCAGTGAGGTCATATAATACATGTTTTTCTCTGATTGACTTATTTCGCTCAGCATAATACCCTCCAATTCCATCCACATCATTGCAAATGGCAAGATTTCATTCCTTTTGATGGCTGCATAATATTCCATTGTGTGTGTGTGTGTGTATGTATATATATATATATATATATATATACACCATATCTTCTTTATCCATTCATCTGTCAGTGGACATCTTGGCTCTTTCCACAGTTTGGCCGTTGTGGACATTGCTGCTATAAACATCGGGGTGCATGTACCCCTTCGGATCCCTATATTTATGTCTTTGGGGTAAATACCCAGTAGTGCAATTGCTGGATCATATGGTAGCTCTATTTTCGACTTTTTGAGGAACCTCCGGGGATGTGGAGAAAGGGGAACCCCCCTACACTGTTGGTGGGAATGCAAGCTGGGATTGAGTTTTTAAATCAGGCAGCGCACTGTTAAAATACAAACTCTTAATTTTGTTGTTGTAGGTGAGTCCATTAATCTGCCTAAAACCCAGTTTGCTCAACTATTAAAAGAAGATAAAAATACCTACTTTGAAAAAGCAGAGAATTAAAAATAAACCTGCCTTAGTGCTTGATATATACACAATAAGTAGTATTTGTTCTAACAAAATATCTCATTTACATGTGAGTAAAACTTAAAACTCATAGAACACCTGTTTTTTTCCAGTGGAGCTTTTCAGTCCTAAAGGTGATCAGTAAGGTACTGACCCTGAGGGCCTGGGACAGAGCCTCCAGAAGGACTTTAAGATATAAAAGACACCATTGTTTGGAGAGATAAAGATTTATAAACTATTTGCAGTTTTGCAAAAAAAAAAAAAAAAAAGATAGCTAGGAAAGTATACCAATTTGCTATGTTGATTACCTGGAGTCTTGAGGTTATGCTGGAATTCAGCCTGTGAAAGTATAGATCTTGAAATAATTTTTTTGAAATATTGTCTTAAAAATAAATATAATTAATAAGTATTAATCATAAATAGGCAATATTTTTTTCATAAAACAATAATAGCCATGAAAATTATAATAGAACACTATCAGGTGAATACATTTCATAACAGTGAATATAACTACAAAATTTTACTTTATTATTTTACTTTTTCTCATTTGGATGCAGGATCAGAGATTGATTATACATCAATTGAGCCTTTAAAAACCTGAACCATTATATTGATTGGACTGAGTTGGGGAGGAACTCTGTCAACATGTAGATATACAAACAAAATTGTGTCCAAAGAGGAGGTAAAAAAATATTTAATTAGGGAATGACAATGGAAATGGAGGTAATGAGCTCCAAACATTGAAGTCTGCATGAAGATGGTTGTGAAAGAAAACTAAGGCTAGGGCACCTGGGTGGCTCAGTCAGTTAAGTATCTGCCTTTGGCTCAGGTCATGATCCCAGGGTCCTGGGATTGAGCCATGCATTGGGCTCTCTGCTCAGAGGGGAGCCTGCTTCCCCCTCTGCCTGCGGCTCCCCCTGCTTGTGTTCTCTCTCTCTCTCTGACAAGATGATCTTATCAAAAAAAAAAAAAGAAGAAGAAGAAGAAGAAAAAAGAAAGAAAAACCAAAGCTTGTAGAATTTCTGAAGAGGCTAAAAATCAGAGATCAGGAGGGGCGCCTGGGTGGCTCAGTCGGTTGGGCGGCTGCCTTCGGCTCAGGTCATGATCCCAGGGTCCTGGGATCGAGCCCCGCATCGGGCTCCCTGCTCAGTGGAGCATCTGCTTCTCCCTCTCCCTCTGCCGGCCTCTCTGCCTGCTTGTGCTCTATCTTTCTGTCAAATAAATAAATAAATAAAACCTTTAAAAAAAAAAAATCAGAGATCAGGAAAAATGAAGTAAAGATTTTATAGCAGAAGTGGAAATTGTTGCAGTGTAAAGAAGAGAATTTTCAAGTTTGTTAATACAGGATCTACATGTGACTGACTCCTTGTTCTTACAACCCTCTAAGCTTTAACCCTGGGATCTATATAACTTACTGGGTTCAGCCCCACTTCTGATTCTGAAATTAAGACTGTAGTCTTAACACTTCTGTCAATTCACATAATTACCACTTCTTTCTTATAGTAAGAACAATTAAGACCTAGTATTTTAGCAACTTTAAAATTTATAATACAGTATTATTCACTATAGTCACTATGTTGTGCATTATATCTCCAGAACTTTACTATCTACCCGTTGCAAGTCACTTACTGGTGTTTGAGCGTTTGCAAATGGTGGAGTGTTTTTAGGAATAGAACTTAAAGAGGTTACTTATACTTTACTGAGCTATGATTATTTTTGAAACTTATTTAACAAGAACAAAATAATGACCAGTCCTTTAAGTTTACAGCTGTATTATGGAGTTACCAAGAAGTATAAAAAATGAGGATAATCATCCTAACGAAGACATGAAAATTATCACCATAATTACTTTTGTTTTCTTTTCCTCCTATTTTTTACTAGCTTCCAAAAATAGAAGTTGGAATATTCTAGATTAAAGTATGTACAAGGAAATATTTCTGATTTTAGGATAAGGTTTCTGATTTTATGAGGAAAACTTTAGCAAGAATCCACTTATGATTAGAAACAAATAATCTCTACAGGAAAATAATCTTGGTTGTATAATAGCTATTTGGGGAGTTCATTCATTTGAGACTCATGGACACAATAGTTTTCAATGACATATCATTATACCAAACTTCAATCCTTCCTAAAGCTCTTGTCTTTCTCATGGAATTCTGTCTCATCATCTATGTCTTAAATACATTTTCCTTCCCCAAGTATGTTTGGCCATTCATTATTGTACACATGTCTCTTTTACCCTAGAACACCATGAAGGAC